AAAACATGTTTGGTAAGAGTTTTAATTTTTGAATTTTGGGTGTACCCAGTCATATATGATTTTTGGCCTCTTTACGTCTCCTAATATTTGGCCTCCACACCCATATATGATTTTTTTTAATAAATAATATTTGTGACAGTAAAACAATGGTCGCTAAAAGTGTTTTATTTTTATTTTTTATTTTTTTGGGACGGCAAAATAGTTGTCGCAAAAAATAGTTTATGCAGTCACAAATAATTTGCGACCGTTGCTTTGCCGTCGCAAAAAATATTTGCCACCCCCACATTTGCATCTCCCATCTGCGGTCGCATAGGCCATTGAAAAAATCTTTAGCCTTAAAACCAACTTTACTACTGCTCTTAAAACCAATTTTCCTCCAATAATGCTTTCATTTTATAAAGTTCAACAAATTTCCATATTTGTCTAGTTGTTCGAATTTGTCTTCTTCTTTTTATTTATTTTGTGCTTGTGTGTGTGTGTGTGCGCGCGCGTGTTGTGTCCTTATAGTACAAATTTAAGAAACATTTTATTAAATTAATCTTTAGAGTCGTGAAATTAATTGATCATGCTTTATTTGAATTGTTTCTCTTTTGCTATAGTTTTATAGTGCATGATTTATTCTCTTTCTTTATCTGATAGAATAGAACATATTACAGCAATCAAATGTGAGTAAGTTGATGTAATTCAGAGAACATATTGATTTCTTTAGGAAAGTTCTCTGACATTTTAATTACAAATTTTCCCTTTTGCTTTTCTTAATTTATGTTTTATCAATTTGAATACAGATGTGGAGTTAGGAGACACGAGGTCTGTAGCTGAAGCTTTTGCCAAGTCAAAACAGGGTTAGCATTTTCCACTTTTCCTTGTGCAATTTAGTTTGATATAGTGCTTTGTCTTCACCCTCCCCCCCCCCCAACTCTTTCTTTTTGTATTCTTTTCGTTTGAACACTAAATCGTTGAGTATCTATGCAGTTGAGTTAGCTAATGAAGCATCTTGTGGGAATGCAAACCAAGAACGCTTACATAGGATTTCTCAGTTGGATGAGATTGAGGATCTCCAGCCACCTCATGACCCTCCATTGGCACCACTTTTCATTAAGGTATGCCTTTCTTCTTAAAAAAAATGGCACATGTTAGTTTTGATTGCAAATAGGTATTTTATGGTTTGTTTCTTGGATTAGGATCCTCAAGACTATTTTGATTCTCAACAAGCTAATGCACTAAAAACTTTGGGAGATACACTAGTTGAAACAAAAACAAATGAAATGCAACCTGAGTACCAATGAAGCTTATGGTTCTCCAAAGGAGTGTATATCTAAGATAAAAATTGTCGGATTAAGTGATCCCATAGTTAAGCCTGAAGTTGGTTTCCAGGTAATTGAAACTCTTGTTGCAAATCACTAATCTGCCATAAAGAGAGGTCACTAACATAGTTTTATTTTGATTATTTCAAGCTAAACTAACACATTGAAGTGCATTAAATTTTCAAGTCAAGTTTGATATATGTTTTTGCAGATTTTGTTGAGGGAATAGTTGATATGATCGAGTGGGTGATGTTGGGAGCCAAAGATTATGTTTCTCTTTTTTTTCTCTTTTCTTTTTTCTTTTTTCTTTTTTTTTTTTTTTTTGAAGATTTGAACTTTTTAGTACAGTGTGTTTAAGTATGGTTAATGGATAATGTCTATTATAAATTTAATTAATATGTTAATTTTGTTATTTTTCATTAACAAAAAATTGTTTGGTGCTTGTAATTGATTTTTTTGTTGTGGCAAACCCATATATGATTTTTTTTAATAAATAATTATTTGTGACAATAAAACAATGGTCGCTAAAAGTGTTTTTATTTTTTTATTTTTTTTTTGTGACGGCAAAATAGTTGTCGCAAAAAATAGTTTAGGCGATCACAAATAATTTGCGACCGCTGCTTTGCCGTCGCAAAAAGTATTTGCCACCCCCACATTTGCATCTCCCATCTGCGGTCGCATAGGCCGTTGGAAAAAGTCTTTGCGACTGTATTTTTATTATTTACGACGGCTTGTAGCGGTCGCAAGAAATGTTTTTTTTTAATAGTGTGGTTAAACTATTAATAAAATTTTAATGTGTCTTTTAAATTTTTATCTAATTAATGATATTGAACCTTTTGAAAACTGTTATTTAAGAACATTCAGAATTAATTTCATGATCTGTAGAGCAAGTTCAATTTTTTATTTATCAATTTTAGATCATGAATAATATCACATGACAATTTAGATTGCTTAATAATTTTTTTCAATATATTGTTATGAATGAATACACAAATAATAGAAGAACAAAATAATAATAATAATAAAAAATACAATCTCTCTCTAGTGTACAATGACCAGCCAAGAAAAAAAAGTCACCCTAGCACAAAATCAAAATGGCAAGATTTCAGCAAAATTGTGTAGTTGTTTATAGGTTGATTAAGTGATATATGCCTAGCCAACCCAGGCCCATAGCCCATTGGGGCAGCCCAAAAGGGTCTAGGGCCATGGTTTACACGATCCAAGAAGTGGCAAGATGGTTTAACAACAGGGACACGTGATATAGGGTGGTCAGGACGCTAGCTTCACCATGTTGGTAGTCATCATGATCAATCATGCTTAATTTGGTCGGGAAATTTGAGAAGAAATTTGGAAAGAAAAATAAAAAAGGTAGGTGAAATGTGAATAAAAATATCTATATTTTACCTAGTTTCACATACCTTTTCTCGTTCTCTTTCCAAAAAAAAAAAAAAAAAAAAAAAAAAAAAAAAAAAAAAAAACTTTACTCATTTGGTTAGAAACAAAAAGGGCAAATTACATATACTTCCCTTGAGGTTTGGCTAAATTACAGATACCCCTCTGAGGTTTCGGAAATTACATCCCGTCCCCTAAGGTTTGCATTTTCATAACAATTTACCCCCTGAGGTTTAAATTTCATAACAAATTACCCCCTAATTTGTTATGCAAATATAGCATTCAGGGAGGAATTTGTAATTTCTCAAATCTCAGGGGGTATTTGTAATTTAGTCAAACCTCAAGAGGGTATATGTAATTTGTCCAAACAAGAAAGAAGTGGAGCAATTTGAAAAACGGGTATACTCCCTTCGATTGTTGCCAGGTCGAATGAGCAAATGACGTAAATGTTTGTTGGCAATGTCTGGTGATTAATATGTACAAGGTGACACTGGTGATAATGGCTTTTGCAACATATTTACCTTTTTATTTAGGGCCTTTGGTCCTAATCAGACTGGATTGTGATGTTAAGTTTTCATAGACCTATCATGGAACTCAAATTGATGATCTAAACTATTTAATATATAAAATTTGTTGAGTATTTTAATTCTGCAAAAAATTATATTAATCACTCTGTAAAAAATTACATTAATTAGATATTGACAATCGCTTAATCAATTCATATTTTTATAATTATATATATTAAACAATTTAAATTATCTCTAAAATAAATCTTAAATGGGTCAAACTGGACAGTCTAATTAAGCTGTCCAACTTGGGACAATTCAATTCCTTTATTTAGTGGTACATGTGTTAACGCGGTATGAAAAGACACCTCCGTACTATACGCATTAGAACTTTGGGATGGGAAAACTTTCATCAAATGTTCCTATTTCATTCATAAAAAAGAAATAAAAACCTTATTAAAATTGCAATGAAATTTCTAATAATGAGATTTTTATTCTTTTTCTATCACGGATTTAGCAAGTGAATTTAATACAATTCACAAAAAAAGAGCACAATGAATTTTCCATCTCTTGTTTCTTCTTCTTGTTATTTATTTATTTTTTGACTTTCATGCCAATGGTGAGGACGCACTATGAGCCGCTTTGTGCTTTTTGTCACAAGTGGGGGGTTTTGGGTCACTCCTATGACGAAGTCACAGCAGCACCTCTGGTGAAGAAAAAAAATGGCTTAGTTTGAAGTGATTTGGTCATTAAAATCCCTTTTTTTGGCACTGATTTGGAATTTGATTTTGGGTTTATTTTATGAATTTCAAATTCAATTTTGGGATTTTGATTTGGAGCAATGGTGGTTTGGTGGATTGAGGAGGCTCTCCTCTGACAACTCTCTCTTGTTCTCTTCTCCACCAGTGCACCACAACTGCAATATATTCAAAATTCCCTTTCTTATGGATGCTTTCAAGTCCTTGAAGAAGAAATCTATCATCGTAAACATTATTGTTGAATTGATTTGGTCATTAAAATCCCTTTTTTGGCACTGATTTGGAATTTGATTTTGGGTTTATTTTATGATTTTCAAATTCAATTATGGGATTTTGATTTGGAGCAATGGTGGTTTGGTGGATGGAGGAAAGGATCCTGAGGCTGTGTATGGTTGTGTTGCGATCTCACTATGTAGTTGGGGTGGTTTTGCGATGAAGGGGGTGGAAGAGGATGATTGTGGAGGTAGATGGTGGTGGGATTGTTGGTGGCTGTGTAAAGATGATGATGGAGATGGTGCTGCAGGAGGGAAGGCTCCTGGCTTGGTTTTTTGAAGATGAAATGTAAACTCGTAACTAATTCAAGAAATGTAGTATATGCAATTACATAACATACAATAAAACACCACAAACTAATTCAAGAATAGAGAATCTTCATAAAAATTTTCTTGATATTTCTTTCCTGGCATGACTCCTTAATTATTTTACATTGCCTTACTTTTCTACATGGATAAGACTTGTGAAAATTACTAATCAATTGAAAGTGAAGAAAACAATAATAATTCAATAGAATTTCTTTTTTTTTTTTTTAAATTACATTAGAAGCCCAACCCCTCCCTTCACCCTTCCTCACCATTGTCAGTCACATTGCTCTGCTGCCCCTATCATCGCCCGTATGACACCCTAACCCAACCCAACCCAACAAGCCCATCCCACCAAATCCCTCATCCATACAACCCTATGCCAGCTGCTGCAAAACATGCTCTCCGCAAGTGTAAAAGAAAATTAAAATAAATATATAAAGGCTTCATGGATCAACCAAATAAGTATCAGAAAGGACTTAAAATGGACACAACAAGAAACAGAACAACCGTATCAAATAAGGCAAGGACCTGTACATATTAAAAATGAGGAGAAGGTTAAAGCCATGAGTAACCGCCATCTGACTTTTACACACATGGGGTTTGGCAAATTATGACTATTGATATTGATAACTTAAACCACCGAAAAGGTGGGTTATTTTGCTAATTTTATACATTTCACTGTGATTGTTCAACAGGAAATAACTTAGCTGCCATTACTGGGAGCACAGTAATTTTATTCCCCCATCATCAGCAAGCAGATGGACAGTAAAAAAAAATATATTGCAAGGTGGAATGTTTATTTACCGGGCGTGGCCGTGGCCCTGTCAACTAATGGTATTTAGAGAAGCTCCCACTCAGATTCGCAAAAATCATGAGCTGGTAATTTTTTTGTGACTGCATCCATGGTAATAAGAGTCAGCATCAAACTCTCCACACCTGTATGGTTTGATCGTCCTGTGTCTGTGTCTCCATATTGTACTGCAAGTTGCTCATACTCCTGCTTCCTTGCTGACCTTTTTGACGAGAAAGCTTTCCGAATCTTTTTCTGAAATAAATTATTAGGATTTTATTTAAGAGGGGACCAAGGAATACATACTGTGTAACATGCTAATAAAAATTCGCCAATGAGATTGGACAAATACCACTTTACTAACCTAACTATGGGACTATTTAGTGTAGCTTATGAAGTTGCTTATATATATATTTTTTAAAATTCAGCGTGTTTGGTGTAACTTCTACATACAACCTATGACGCAAATATAATAAGCTTTAAAAACCTCATTATTGAGAAGTAGGGAGACTTTTTTTTCCCTTTGTCAGCTTCCAACTTGTTAGAAGTTGAACCAAATAGATCGTACTCTTCACTACCGCAATGTAAATTTCTCATTGGTTGGTAATATTGTCACGTGATATCACTATTATATTAAATGCCAACTTGGTGTGAAGAATATGTCTATATAAAAACTTGCAACTAATAATACAAGCTAGCCCTGTTTGGGAATTGGTTATTTTAGCTGACTTTTCGACTTTTTACTAAAAGACGTGCAAAAAGTAGAAAGAGTGATGCGACAATTTATAGTGCTTTTTGGCTACAAACCGCACTCCCAAACGGGACCTTAGTACACCAAAATAAAAAATAGCAATAAAATTTCTAAAAACAATGGAACTAAAAAAAAAATGAAGCTTTGAATTGATAGAGACAAAATGATGAAAAGAAACAGACCCAAAAAAAAAAAAAAAAAAAAAAAAAAAAAAAAAGGAGAGAAAAATAACATAATCTCATTGCCTAACCAAAAAAGAAGGGAATGCAAAGAGAAAAATAAAGAAGTAATTAGTGCAATGCCTGGCTTTGAAGGGGTATTTCCTTATTATTAAAAAAGTTGAGCTTCCATGTACACTATATAATAAAGGATCTCATTCAAAACTAGGGGTGGCCAAGGCCCCCCTTGGCCCTAGTCTACCTTCGTCTCTGCATACACACACACACACAGAGAAAGAGAGAGTGTACCTTGTATGACCTAGGTTTGTCTTCTGTGTTAGAGATAATGCAAAGTTTGTCTCTGTCCACCAAGACACAAGTTCCCTCCAACTTTGAGTCGTCAAATTGTTCAATGATATCAATCCTTGGCTCAGCTATACCATTACTCTCAACCAAATCCAAATTACAGTTACCTGATCTTCCTACAAAGATTCAAGGAGGTCAGTTGATAGATTGAAAATTAATAATAGGCAACATTGCAAACTGGTGCTAATCAAAGAACCAGCACTTCAAATGGAGTAAGAGATTGAGATTTGAAAGTTAGTTGCACAAAGCGGAAGCGGAGGCGGGGACAAGAGCGCATTGGGAGCATATATATATATATATTATATACTAAACACATAAATATAGTTTAACAAATATTTTCCTGAGTTGTAATATGTGTTACAATATGAATAAATATTAGAAATTTATGTCAACTACAAATTGTCTTTGGTAAGTATTGTCTTTGTTAAGTATAAATAAATATGATATTTACAAAGTAATAGCATAAGTTTAGTTTTTTTTTAATTTTATTTTTTATTTTTTATTTTTTTATTGTTTCTTTAAGTTTTGTAAATTTGAGAGGCTCTATCTCAATTGGGAGTGAGTTTCTTTCTTGAAAGGAGTGTTTCTTTCTTAGCAACAATGATTTCAGTTTTTGGATAACAAACATAACCCCACTCAGAATTTCTTGCTACTAAGATTTGAAATAGTGTGGAAATTATCACTTCCACAGATATTGGAGACAAATATTAAATAACTTGAGAGATGTATTGAAATATGAGCTCAAAGAGTCATTATTTCTAATTGAACATAATTGCAATATTATCTCCAAGGCTGTTGCAATAAGTCCATCTCATGTTTCATGTATCATTTGGAACTCTTGCTTTGTTTCACCTGATCACTTCAAGAAATTCAGATGATACTATCTTAGATCTTCTAGATTCAGAAGGTAGTAATAGCTTCTTTCAGTGCAGACTCTTTTCAAACAACAAATTGAACTTTCTAATACAAAACAAACAGAATGAAATTGTTATATTTTGAAGGACATCCAAAGAAGCCTAAATTTAACTCCTAAGAAGTGCACACATTTGAAAATGAAAAATTCATACTGTTTCTTTCCACCTCTAAGGTGGATTAAAGAACTCTATATTGCAAACAAACGCAACTGAAAATATATACACTCAGCAGAAGAAGTTTTTTTTCCAAAAACATTTTCTTCATTTATGAGGCGGTGCAGTTGGATACGTGGCGCACATGCATGCAAACGGTGCACATGGTCTTCAGCTGAGGTTTGCATCTACAGATGCGAAGGCAGGCTGTGGCTTCCCTTGTACGCTTCCTTGCTGCCTTATCTATTCTGTTGGGAATTGAGCCATGGTTCGTAGCTAGTTATCTTCAAACCTCCGGCCTCATAAATGGGGTGTTTGGTATGATAAAAAATGGAAGTCAATAGAAATTATTTTCAGTTTTGCGTGGAAAATGCTTTCTATTATGTTAGGCAGAAAACCTTTATCAGACCTAAAGAGGCAGACTACAACCACGCCACCACTGTCACCCCACCACTACCACCAACCCACTCTACCACCACCACCACCAGCCACCACCACCATCATCACCCTCACCTTAACGCCACCACCCTTCCATCACAACCATCAACCTTGCCACCCCCGCACTCACCACCCTCCATCACTATCATAAGCCCCATCTTACCATTACCACCACCACCTTGCCACCACTAGCAAATGTGTTGTGAAAAAAAAAAAAAAAAGAACTTTTAGATTGACCTTCCATGCAAACCAAACAGCAAAAAAGTTTTCTAGCTTATTTTAAAGGTTGAAACCAAACACACAAAAAAAAATTCAAAACAATATTTTCCAAGGAAGAAAATGCTTTTTATCAAAACAAGCGGACCGATAATGATAAAAAAATAATAATTATTGTTACCGATATATGGAAATTAATATTGATAAAAAATGTTATTCCACTAGGAAATGATAAAAGTTTTATCATCTGAATATTAACAATACAAGCAAATTCTATTTACAACCAACCAAGAATTACTGATATGTTGAGAAAGCGGAATTCCCAATCTCATATAAATTCTTGTGTTTGCTGATTAAGCAAATTTCTGCAACCAATGATAAAAGTGCTATAGATTATAAAATGTTCTGACCAGAATTTCTATTTGGCCCAAAATGATTACATGTGAGAAGTCTTAAACTTCAATAGAAGTACAAGAACCCAAAAAATTTCCACTAGCGAGTAATGATTGTTCAGTGCGAAAAGGGATCAGGTAAGCACTTTGAGGTCAATTATGAGATAACTGACCAATAATATATCATCACTACTAAACAATAAGAAGATCCATCAATTGAATGAATATGTAGTTCAAATTTGTTGATCAAATTGTGCACTATGCATCATAATTTACAAGCAAATGAAGCAATTGTGAGAATATTTTAGATATTCTTGAGATATTATATATATTCTATAGATATTGTCTAGATTTTATTCTATGTAATATTCTTAGCTTATTTCCTCTTCTATTTTAGGGTTAAGCCTAGGCGATAAATACTGATGTAATTCTTCTGTATCAAACACAATGGAATATACAGTTTCTCTTTTCCTCAGAAACTTACATGGTATCAAACCAAAGTACCTAAGGGCGTGTGTCCTTGGCCTACACACTGTAGGTGCTACAGAGTGAGTACTATGGGAGTTAGGGAGGGTGTGAAGCAAAGTCCCAAATTGCCTAAGTATTAAAGTAATGTGAAGTATATACGCGTGAGGACACCCTCACCTCAACAGCTAGCTTTTTGAGTTCTACCCAAGATCACGTAACATGGTATCGGAGCTTTATGTTTATGAAAACCCTAGGCCTAATTTGTCTCCGTTTTAGCACCTTTGAAAATCTGCCTTTATTGTTTCATCTTCGTTTCTTCTCCATCAATATTAGTTCTTATAGTCCTAGCCGAACCCTTCTAATCCTTCTTAGCACTAAATTGAACCATCCATCTCCTTAACACCAAACCCCTTCTCGATCCTTTGTTCTTGTTTTAGCTCTCTCACGATGTCGGATGACAAGATACAGGCCATCAATTGCAGACTCACTGGCGCCAACTACACCTATTGGTCCAGTGTTATGAAAAACTTCCTACTTGGTCACAGGAAAAGGGGTTATATTTTTGGTTCTATTCCTCACCTATCGGATCCCAAGAAAAAGGGGTATTAGGCTACATGTAAAACTTGGGATTATGATAACGCCAAAGTTCTGAATTGGTTCCACAACTCTATGGAAGATCGTAGTGAGATGATGCTCTCCAAGTACATTACTACAAAGGAGGTGTGGAAGCATTTACTTGGAGTTTATCAACAGTCACCTTTGCCAAGCGCTACGAGTTGGAAAATGCTATTTAAAGTGCTCACCAGTGGGACAAGTCCATTCAGGACTTCTATATTGAGATAACTGGTTTCTAGGATCTGTTGGCCTTGATGAAACCACCTAGTGTCAAGGTGCTAGATGATTATCTGAAATTCTGAGAGGACAGTAATTTGGTGCAATTTTTATGGCCCTTTTTTCCATTTGTGGTGGCATCTTTCACTGATCTCCTCTCCCCTCTGTGGATGATGTTCATGAGCTCCTCTCCTAAGGAACTTGGCTCAAGACTGCTAGTTAGGCTTTGTCTCCATCTATCTTCCCAACTCTTAATCCTCAACATTTGCTCATTTGCTTCAGACTACTGGAAAGCCTAAGTCCAAGCTCTCTTACGACGATTGTGTTTTCTATCATTAGAAGAACCACTGGAAATACAACTGCCCCAATAAGTAGTGTCAATTTGCACATTTTTTTCCAGAGTCTCCGGCATAGTTCTAAGCTCTGTTTCGAGTTCTTTTCAGCCTCTGGCAGCTTAAACAACCTCTGTTTCTCCCAGTGACTCTGGGTGTGCTAACTTGAGTGTCCAGACTGCTCAGCTTCAACAGATGATGTCCTCCTCTACCTAGCCATCATCTTCTGCCTCTGCTTTGACCTTTGTTCATTCAGGTTTGATAGAGTCCTCCTTAGGTATGTCTCCTTCTGTCTGGATTTTTGATTTTGGTGCCTCCCATCATATAACTCCCCATTAATCCTTGCTACAAAACTATGTTCCCCTTTCCTTTTCCTATTATTGTACATGTTGCCAATGGTTGTAGTATGTGTGTCAAATCTATTGGATCTGTCTTACCCCTACCATGTTAGCTGTTACTATTCCCTCTATCTTTTGTGTTCCTAAGTTATCTGTCAATTTGTATCCATCAGTCAAATTGTTGCTTTTGGTTTTGATGTTATCTTTTCTTCTTCTATTAGTTGGAGATTTCTATGTGATGGAGAGCTTGCATCTTCCTTTGACTACCTCTCTAGCTACCCTTTCATCTTTTTAGTTATTCTACATCAAGTTAGTTTCATTTGTGGCATATCTAGATTAGGGCATTTGTCCGCTGACCAGTTATCGTCTTTAGTTCAGTTTGGGTTTTGGGTACAATACCTAGTGAACTTACCGAGTGTCAAGATTGTAAACTTGCCAAAAAGATTGCCTTATTATTTAATAAAAGTACTTCTATTTTTGTTATACCTTTTTCTTTAGTTCATACTAGTGTTTAGGGGCCTTCTCCTGTTTCCACCAAAGGTGGTTCTACACTTCAGTTTATCTCACGACCCATAAATCTGATTTCTACCATATATATTGCACTTTTCAGTTTATCATCACAACACAGTTTGGGTTTACCATTAAATCTTATGGTTTGACTTGGGTGGGGAATACCAAAACTGAGTTCTTTGAGTATTTGGCCAATCTGAGAACCATTCACCAATCTTCATGTTCTGATAACTGTGCCCAAAATGGCAAGATTAAGCGAAAACACTGTCATCTCCTCAACATTACTCGGACTCTTCTTTCATCTGTCGTTTGTCTAGTTCCGTTTTTGGGATAAGGTTATTCTTACTGCTGCCTTTCTCCTCAATCAAATGCCGACTCCCCTTCTCTTACGTCGCTCCCCTTATGAGGCTCTACAATCTACAGTTCCAAATTTCTCCCTCCTTCAAGTCTTTGGGTCTGCCTATTTTGTTCTTCTCCCTTAAAAGGATAGAACCAAACTTGGTGCTCGGTCTGTCATGTGTCTT